TGCAGATCCTTCTCACTTCCTGCCTTCCTGGCTGCTGGCTCTGCCCAGCTCCCCACACCTGGGCTTCTCTTCCTAGCCTTCTGCTCTGAGCTCAGCAGAAATCCCACGGGGCACAAAATGCAGTGTTCTGGATCTGTGGGCTGCCAGGCCCTTTTCTGGGTGCTGCCCCTGCTCACACAGCCTGATACAGCCTCATATTTGCCTTTTATATGAGTACACCCAGTTCAGTTCATCACGCACAAGCTGAACTATAACATAACACAAACGGTCTTCCCACTCTGGCTTACACAGTTTGATCTATGCTTTTGCTCAGATAACTTTCTGAGTGCCCTAAGGCAAGCTGCCACTGTAGGAAATGATGTAGGACTGCTTATGTAGCTGCTCCTCTTCAATGGAGAATCATACCATGGAATCCTAGAATGGTTTGTTTTGGAAGGGTCCTTAATGCTCATCCAGCACCAACCCCCTGCCATGGGCAGGGACACTTTCCACTAGAGCAGGTTGCTCCAAGTCCCTGTGTCCAACCTGGCCTTGAACACTGCCAGGGATGGGGCAGCCACAGCTTCTCTGGGCACCCTGTGCCAGCGCCTCAGCACCCTCACAGGGAAGAGCTTCTTCACAGCATCTGATCCAAATCTTTCCTCTGCTGGTTTAATGCCATTTCCCATTGTCCTGTCACTACCTGCCCGTGTATAAAGCCTCTCCAGATTTCCTGTACCCCTCTTTAGGCACTGGAAGCTGCTCTAAGGTCCACCTGGAACCTTCTCTTCTCCAGGCTGATCAACCCCAGCATGTCTTCATAGGAGAGAGAGTTTTCAGGGAGAAGATGAAAGAAATTCTTAGCATGACTCATGGTTTCACACGAGTTTGAAGCTCTAGTGCCTGACTTTCTCCATGAGTTGGAAGCAGACAAAGACTACGCCAGAGATGTTAAATGTGCACTTTATTCTTCAGCTGCGTATTGTATTCCCAGCTCTTCTCTCAGCTTTTCTGCATTGCTGGTGTGCATTTCTCCCCATGACTAGCTAGACTGCTATCCGGAAGCTTGGCTAGACCTTGCATAGAGGCAAAGCATTTAGAGTTTGCTAATGCAGAACCTTGCAGAAATCATGCCAGTGCCTCCCGTGCTGCATAACCTCGTTTAAACAGCTTCTCTTGCCTTGGTTCCCTCTTGCCATGTCACAGCAAGAGCAGAAGCAGCAGCAGAAACCTGACCTGCCAGTCCAGGCGTGCTGCCTGGGTTCATGCCAGGCTCCTGGCTGTCCACACTGCAATTCTACTTTCCACCCACTAAATCAGAGGCAAAAACCTGTGATTGTCCGCTTGCCAGGGGATGTGCCATCCATGCATACCAGAGAAGTGTCCTGAACCTCCCCTGGTATCGCTTCCCCCAGTGTCACCAGGAGCTGAAGGTACTGGAGGCAGCTGCTGGTGGAAAGCTCTTCACCATCTTCCTTGGTTCAGCATTAACCCAGCCAGGCTACAGGAGCAAACAGTGTTTTGCAGCTGGGCCTCTGCCCTGGGCTTACAGCATGCTCTGTAGCACAGGAGCCAGGAAATAGTTACAGAGCAGCCCCGTTACTAAAATGCATTTCTCATACGAACATTAGTGAGTTCTTAGAAATGTTTTGGCCATGAAGTGGTTCTACATGGTACCCAGAAAGCAGGCTTTCCAGCTGCCCACTGGTGGAGGAAGCCAAGGAGAACGCTGGCACCAAGGCCAGGGCTGCCCAGCAAAATGGCTCTAGCCTTGGCCAGGAAGACTGCAAACAGCAGACTTTGACTGCCTGGACTGGTTCTGTCCTGAACAACCTCAAAGCAGCTGCCAAAAGCCAGCACTAGGAAGAGAAGGGTGTGTTAACACTGCAAGGCAGTGCTGGAGAGTCTGGACATCAGGCTAGAACAGCCACTGGTTCCCTGTCTGGTGCCCAGCAGTGCTGCCCTGTGATCCAGGGCAGCTCAGCACCACTGCTCCAGAGAGCACAGGGGAAGGGAAATACCCCCACGGTTAAAGGCAGTGCTGAGACATGGCCACAAGCATCCTGCATCACATTATTAACCCTCTCTGGCCACAGTGCTAGCTCATGCCCTGGACTGAGCAGTGCAGAGGGATGTGCCAGGGAAGCGCTGAGGCAGAGGGAGCTCAGCACAGGACGTACAGGGGAGCTCTCACCACAGGGTACACAGGTAGATGAGACTGCTGTGGGAAGAGAGCACTGTACACTGGGATTACTGGCCCATGAGCCTTCAGCTTCCCCAGTGAGACACCTCACACAACCCTATGTCTACCTTCAGAAATGTGTTAGCCATTCTCCTCCATTTGTAGTCTGTGGCTGAGCTAACTGCAGGTAACAGAAACAAAGGAAATGCTGAGCTTCTCCTTATAGAAAGAAAAGAGATGTATTTTAAAAGTATGCCTATTTAGATAAATAAGTTATTTAGAAAATACGTATTAAGTGGCACAGTCGTGTATGGTCCAAGCCTTCTGGTTTAGTCTGAAGAAAAGGCTCAGGAAGGACATTATCGCTCTCTACAACTACCTGAAAGGACGTTGCAGTGAGGTGAGGTTGGTCTCTTCTCCCAGCTAACAAGCTGCACCAGGGGAGGTTTAAACTGGATATTAAGAACAATTTCTTCACAGAGAGGGTGCTCAGGCCTTGGAACAGGCTGCCCAGGGCAGTGCTGGAGTCACCGTCCCTGGATGTGTTCATGTGTGAGGGCTGTAGACAAGCCCTCAGTGACATGGGTTAGTGGTGGCCTTGGCATTACTGAGGGAATGGCTGTAATGTTTGGACTTGATGATCTTAAAGTTCCTTCCGACCCAGTTGATACTACGATTCTGTGATTCTACCCTCAGCATAAAGTAGCATGTTGTCCCGCCCAGACTTGTAGTGATTCCAACCAGGATGAACAAGAACTAGTGACTCCTGACTTGAGCTTTGGCTAGGGACTGGGGAGCAGTGTGCCAGCACACTGATACAAGAGCAGGAAACTGCCTCAGCCGAAATATCTTCTTGCCCCTTGTCCAAGCTCCTGTATTCAACAAAAATGACACATCAGTTTCATTTATTACATTCCAAGCCCAGCTTCCCTTGCCACCCAGAACAGAAGACACACAAGACTGAATCAGAGCCAGTGGACTTTAAGAGGTAGGAAATCAGTACAGGTATCTGTAAGAAAACAGATAGTTGTCCAGTTTGTGACTATTAACAGTGCAAGGCAAGGGGTCTCCAGGCACAATGAAGTATTGACATGCAGACTGTCAGGCACTGGAATCTCTGCAGAGTGTGATTGTTCCCATTCTCTCCCCTCTGTCAGGATAAGGCTGGTCTGGATACTGCAGCCTCAGCCACTGAGACCAGCTGAGTGCTGATGAAAGTTAATTTCTGCAGCAGTCCTGTCTAAAGGCACAGGGACAGCTGGGTGCAGAAAATAAACCAAAAAGAAAGAAAAAAGGCTGCTGTATGTCTGGATATGTTCACCTAGATAGGCAAGGCCCAGCAGCACCAGAAGAGGATAGGGCTGAGCCTCTTTGACCTGCAAGGAAGTCAAGAAACACAACTCAGTGGAAGACATAAAAGGAGGGCTCCACTCAGCAATCCCAGTATTATGTGCTTGCAGTTATCCCACACGGTTTGCCTTTCTTCTGCCTAACCTCAGACACAAGGGGCATCCTCTGGGTACATCAATACCCACGAACAGGAATGAAGCAATTGAGTCAAACGCTTCAGGGAGAGGATTTTCTCAGCCATCAAAAGGAAGGCGAGACAAGTCCCAGCTAAAAAGTTTGCTCCAACATGAATTCCTTGGAATGAAAACATGCAGCGAACTCAGCAATCTTGGTGCTAACCCCACAGTGGGTCTGCAGCCAACAGCATGATCTGTACCTCTCCACCCCCAGCTGACACAATTCCAGATTTTTCCAGAGGTATACAACAGCACCACCACTGCTTCCTCCTGCCTTTAGCAACTGAATGGGACGGGGATTTACACACTGACTGCACAGGGGAGTTGTGCATCCACCAGATGCTTCAGACAGTTAACACCAACTGTGTCAGAAGGCCCCTCTTGGCCCACTCTGTGCACTCCTATAACATTACAGCCTCAGTAGCCAGCTGTGTTTCCAGCTGCTGAGACCTTGTTTAAAGTCCTCACTGCCTTATCTTTGGCTCATTGCCTCTGCTTCCTAGCCCCAGGGCTCTCTGCCCAGCACACAGTTCTGATACATGCCTCTCACCACAATGTTAAGCCAGGGCAGCTGACTACTGTAGTGTGCAGTAGGCCTTCTGACAGTACTTGTTCTTCCAGTCCCAGGCCCCTTAACAAAGGGTGAGCTCCCTCCAGCAGGCTCATTACTGTACTGCAAGTACACGGTGCACCACAGGTGCTGGGAACCCAACCTTACACTCATCTTTTCCATTTTTCCTGGTCTCTTTGCAGTCCCAGCATGGAAACTGGCTGCTGCCCTTTGTTATTCCTACTCTATTTCCAGGTAGTTGGTGGCCAAAAGACGCTCCAGGTGGAGCAGGAAGGGAAGAACCCCTTTGCTCCTCCATTTCCCAGGGAAGCTGCAACTGCTGTCTGCCCTCCCATGTGCTGGTTCCTCTTACCGTGTCACTTGGGGTCTACATCCTCCATGCAAAGAGCTCCATTGCACTTCCGTACAGAGGTGTTCAAGGAAGGGGAAGACAACTGCAGTGAGAAGCAAAGAGAAAGCTTCAGGGAAGCAGTGACTGGGATGCTGGCCACATCACATGCCCTTCCATTGTGCACTTTTTTTTTTTGGACATCTCAGCAAGCCTCTCCCAAGGTCTCTCCCAGCCTTTCACTTCCAATGAACAGTGTCCTGATCCCAAGACCACCAAGCAAAACCTGTGACCCAGAGCTGGGAAAGCGAGGACTACTTGTGGGAGCCTTCTCTTTCCTGCCCATGGGCAGGGCAGCTCCACGTGTCCCAGGGTCATCATGGGTGCCATGGCAGAGGATATTCCCCAGCTCACCTGCTGGATTTCCTGCATCACCAGGCGTATGGAAGAGTGAAGGCGAGGGAAGGCTCGTTCACTGCCTTTCTCCTTGCCTGAGCTTGGCTTTGTCCTGCTCTCATCAAAGCTCTGTTTTGGGCAATTCTTAGTCCTCCTGAACCACATGCTTTTGAGAGCTGCGGCTGCTCCTGACTGCAGAGCAGGCCTGCTGGTGGAAGACCTGGAGGGGCAGGGCTGCTCCTCTGGAGGGGTCTCTCCCTTGACTGTTGTGTGGCTCAGTGTGAGGGACTCCAGATCTTCATAATCCAAACTCTCGCTACTTTTCTGAGAGAAGGAAGAGTGGATTCAGCAGTGGCTTGAATACCCTTCACACCCCCAGAACAGCGCAACCAAGAGGAATACACAGTGTGCCCACTGCTGACATTCAGGGGGCATCATCCACCCTTCAGGGCCTCTCCCCCACCCCAAGAGTCCCCAGTGCCCAGCTAACAGTGTTTCCTGGTACATGCAGAAGAGGCCAAGCCTTGACCAGAATGGAACACCCCACAATGGGAACACAAAAGAGAGACGCTGCCACAGTGACTCTATTTGCTCAGGGCACAATCCATGCCCCATTTTCCAGCCGCAGATCTTCAGCATTCACCTGCCCACAGGGAACAGTCAGTTTTTCCATGAAGGGCTGGATGCCCACAGTCTGGTGATACTGAACCAGTTTGGTGAGTGAGGCATGAGCCCGGTCTTCCCCCAGGATGACATAGCGTGCATTGGGCTGCATCTCAATCAGGTAGTGTCTGCAGCGGTCCTCACCCCTAGGGAGACAAGCAGACAGAAATAATTATAGCAAAAGCCACAAGGTCTATCCAGGACCCAGTTATTCCTTTCTGCACTTGTCTCAAGAGGCTAGATGTGATCAGGAGGCACAATAACAAATATCACAAAGGTGCAGGAGATGCACTATGCTGGAGTGTCACGTGCTGTGGTAGTAGGGGCTGGAGGAACAGCAGCTCCTCCAGAGTCAGTGACAGGAGAACCAAAGCAGACAGATCCAAACCCCAGCACATTGTACTGCTCCCATGCCTGTTGTCCACATTACAACTCTGCCCTAGCCCTTGCCTGAGGCTGTACAAAGCCCATGCTCTTGTAGCACTCTGCCTCCTCAGGAGGCCCTGCTTTACAGTCATCTCCTCTGCTTCAATCAATGCTTCCTCCAACCTGGTTTGCCCACTCAGCCATACAGCACAGACTAAGCAGGACCTGCACCCCTGGAGCTGCAGCATCCCACCCTACACATCTTGTTTTTGGAAAGAGGCAGACTCCACAGCATGCTGTCTGCTACTTCAAATTGTCTAAGGCACCCTCAATGGGAGAGCCTGAGCATCATCCTCACTGAACTCCTCTGCAGAGGAGGTTATCTCCTCCAGCCACACACAACCCTGCTTCATAGAATCATTTACGTTGGAAGAGACCTTTAAGATAATCAAGTCCCCCCATTAACCCAACACTGCCACGTCCACCACTAAACCATGTCACTAAGTGCTGCATCTACATGTCTTTAAATACCTTCAGGGATGGTGACTCCACCACTGCCCTGGGGAGCCTGCTGCAGTGCTTAACAACTGCATCTCTGTCAGTGAAGAAATTCAACCTAATATCCATTCTAAACCTCTCCTGGCACAGCTTGAGACCATTACCTCCTGTCCTATCACATTTTATCTGGGAGAAGAGTCCAATTCTCACCTCCTTCCAGGTAGTTGTAGAGAGCAACAGGGTCTCCCCTCAGCCTTCTGTGCAAGGCTCATTACCTACCTGTATGTCAAGGTGTAGCCTGGTCGGCTCTGGCTGATCCGAACAAGGAAGCAACCCAAAGGCTTGTCAATCAGCAGGTTTTCGGCTTCCCTGGGAGCAGAAAAGATATTTTCAGCAGACAGTGAGCAGCTGCCTCTGCGCAGGGATTCCCATCCTACCTCCCATGCTACTGTGCTGGTGCTCCCAGTCCACACGGAGGGCAGCATCTGCCAGCTTGGAACAGGTTCCTAGGTTTCCCCAGGCTTGGTGGTGGTGGAAGGCATCAGCAGGCTGAGGAGGCACATTACTCTCAACCAAAACCTTCTAGCTAAAACCTTCTCAGCTAAACCCTCCAAGCAGGGCTGCTCCAAACCTGCTCCAGCAGTCCAACTACTGCAACAGCCACTTTCCAGCACAGAGTAACATTACAGAGCATCACTGTGATGATGAGGATGTGCACATGTGTATTTCCTATGCTCCAGGGCTGATGGAAGAAGTCAGGATGCTGTGGGGTAGTGGTGCTCAGTGCAAGGTAAGCCTAGTGCCTTGGAAAACCACCAACTTGGATTACACCACTTTGGCTCTCTAAAACTTCCTGCTGGAAGGAGGACTTCCCCCTCTTTGCCTAACAAAGCACAGCTTTGTGCTTGTCATGTGCCTTGCTCCAGGCTAAAAGTGACTGCAAATCTCCAGTGCAATTTGGGATTGCTCTGGCTGCTTTGTTACATGAGGCTGAGCTTACACTGCTACATGGAGACTCAAATCCAGCAACAGCAAGCACCAGTTCGAATGTGTCTAATCTTCAACGTTTTTGTGAAGGATCTGCTACGTCCTTCATCACGAAGTGCTCATGGCTAGCCTATATTTGAATTCAAAAAATTTTTCTTTCAGGCACTTGTTTTTCTCCTGCATTCTTGGGTCTGCAGACAAAAGGCATTAACGCAAGTGGAGGCCTTGATAATTATTTTAAAAAAGATAAAATGCAGTGATCAGGGACTTTTCAGCTACTGTAGTGTCCTTTATTCAGCTGACCTGTTATGACTACCACAGTCTCCAAGTAATGTTCATACTGATAAGATGAAAAAATCCAGTAAATTATGATCTAATAAGAATGAAGGAGACTTGCAGCTTTAACAAAAAAAAGTTGCTATGGAACAAGATGCTAAGGGTGTTCAAATTACAGGCACCCTTGGCACAATGGCCCCACACAAGCCCCACCAAGTAAGGGACCCTGTTAGCTAGCAGGCATGCAGCACTATAGATTAGTGCTGCATAAGGGGAGGCTGCATATAGGGGTGACTGTAGCCAGAAATTCTGACATCCACCTAACTGCGCTGCCTTGCTCCTACCCAGTCACAGGCATAATCAGCATTTCTCTGATTATCACACTGCTTGGAAAGTAGTGCTTGGCTCAGTCAAGTGAGTGAAGTGTGAGGCATAACCAGTAGCAAACTTTCAAGCATTTAAATAAAGGTTTTCCTGAAAAAGCTTAAGAGTTCACAGTCTTGTAAACAACTCCATAAAAAAGTAGGGCTTTGTGGATATCTCTCTCTGCCTAAGGGGATGTAAATTCCACCTATGCTGCACCCCTCTCAGACGGGCAAAGATACAAAAAAAACCCCTTCATTTTCCCATATCTGGGGGCTTTGAAGGAATCTTGCTATTGGTTACTCACTAAAGCCCCTCTTAACACTTTTTTTCATAGTCATAGAATGGTTTGGGTTGGAAGGGACCTTAAAGAAGACACATCTAGTTCCGACCCCCTGCCACGGGCAGGGATGCCTTCCACTAGACCAGGTTGCTCCAAGCCCCATCCAACCTGGCCACTGAATTCTGTATTCTCCTGCTGTCAACTGAGGCCTCCTTCTGACCTAAACTGAGAGATGAATTTATAGGGTAAATTCATGTGTGTATTTCCTCTTCACACACTTTGCAAGCTTCCCTTCCCTGCGTGGGATCTGTACCTAGGAACCCACAGGAGACTTATTTCCTATGAGTTACCACAATCTTTCCCTGGATCTATGCAAAATTTCAGAATTTGCAACCTGTGACTGGGACCTCCAAGCCTCTAAGGGTTTGAGGCTCACAGCCTGGAAGTGAAAAGTTATGCAGATCACTCCCACTCTTTAAGGAGACAAATCCTGGCAAATCCAACCTATGCAGTCCTCCTAAGGACACAGCAGCTTCTGCCTGCCTGCCACAGCCCAAGCTGCAGCCACTGTGTCCAGCATACTCACCTCCGGCTGATCATCCCATACAGCCAGCTTGGAAAGGCTCCATCATCCTGCATGACCTTCTGGGCCTGTGTCTCTTTGAACCAGCGAAGCGTTGCTCCTCTCTTGAGTTTCCTCATTTCTGCCTCTTCTCCAGTCTGTTCCTCTGTTCCCAGAACAGGTCGAGGTGCAGAAGGGTCCAAGAAGTTATCAAAAGGAGTCGACTGAAAGTGGGGAGACAGGGAAAATGGGCATGACAGCAAGGTCAAAGGCAGGGGACCTCTGATGGGATCACTTTGGTAGTGATCTCTTTCCCAAGTCCCTGAAGACAAGAGCAGTTGCAAACTATCAATGTTGCTCTTAGCTCCTCAAAGGTCCTGACCACACTTTTTTAACTAACCGCAATAGGAAAGAACTCATGTCCCATAACAAGAATGGGACTTGTTCTCCTGAGGCATATCCAGGAGAACATGCGCATGCAGAAGGTAGAAGGAGCAGGGAACCAGCACACCTGGCTAAGGGGCCCCAAGCAGAGCCAGTATCACCTCTGTTAGTTTGCTGCGTGGCCGTGGCACTGGCGGCTGTGGTGGCTTATCAGAATAATGGGGACAAGACTGAGGGCACCTCTTTCGTGGCTTGGGGACTGGAAAGGAGATTCTTTCTGCAACAAGAGGAAAGAAGTAGATGAAAACTAGCATTCATGACCCATGAGATCCATCCTCCATGTGCCCAGGATAGGAAAAGGCTCTGCTGCATGGAGTATATGGGAGACATGGCTTGGCAAATGACTTTCACCAAGCTGCTTCTGCTCCCCACAGAGAATCCACACTTTCACACAGCAGAAGCGTTGGCACCTCACTGCCCACTGCACTGATGGAGTCCCAGCTCCAGGAGAGCAGAGGGCAGGCCATCATAACCTGGAGCTTAGAGCACTTCAAGGTGATGACTGCATGAGTGGCCATGCATGGGGCAGGAGAGGGAGCAACTCACTCTGGGCCTTTGCTTCCAAAGCCAGCTGCCGGCTTCTTTCCCTCTCTGCCTCTTCCTGTAGCTGCTGTGCCTTAGCTCTCAGCTCAGCCACCAGTTTTAGGTAACTCTTCCTGCACTTGAATCCCCTGAAAACTGTTCAGAGAAAAGCTGTTGTTAGAAAAAAAAAATGCTGTTCATGCCTTTGCCACTCCCCGGGGGAAGCACACCAGGTGATATTCCTTCATCCAGTGCAAAGCCCTCAACACTTGAATCACATTACTAAAGACCAGTGCAAACTCTACCGTGAGCAGGCAGTCAAAATCATGTGAGAACTGTCTTCTACTCTCTAAACTGCCAAATTACGAACTTAAAAAATCACATTATAGATCTAAGATCTCATCTCTAATCCTAAGACACTGAATAGCTAAAAACCAAAGTCTCATAGAAGGACCTCTGTTAACCATCAACCTCCCTGGTACCCTTGAGACACTATGAAGGTGATGGGATTTCCTTGATATGTCAGCCCACAAGAAAACCTCTTCCATAAACAGCCACCACAGGGTTCATCAGGACCATTATAGACATTGCATTATCCCACCTACTCTATTAGGTTCTAAAGCACATGAACCTTAAAGCTGCACCCTCTCATTTCCCACTACCCACACATCTTCCTCAGGGATGATAACAAGGCACAGCATGTGACAGTCTGATGTTTGTCATACTGTATGGTGCATAGCTGGAAGCTGCTCAGATGCTTCAGCAGTGCAACAACCCATATAGAAGTACAACAGAGAGACCAGGCAGGATCACAGCCTCCTTATCCTGGGAGCGCAGTCCTCTCAGAACCCCTGCAGAGGAAAGTACCAAACTGCCTACAATGCCTGCTCTGGAAAAAGAGGCTGCCAGACCAGATGCTACCTGGAAAGGAAGTCAAAACCCCAACCCAAAGCAACCCAAAACTTCATTCCCTTCTGCCTAAGGGGATGCCTATTCTCTGAAAGTAGGAATGGGATCTGCTTCACTTATCTTTTCCCACTCCTCAGTTCAACATCTCTAATAAACAAGCCCTGACTCCAGAGGATGGTTAGCCAGACCTTGGGACACAGACAAATCATACACTTGCCCTGAGCAGTTCAGCTGTCCTGGGCACATGTTTTCCCTTTCCAAGGCTCATGCTGTCTGATGGCTCTCCCCTCTTGAGGATGAGCACTAAGGAGGTGGGCATCTACAATAAGCACTCTGACTTCACAGGGCCTTGACATGGAGATGACGCCAGGCCTGCCTTTCTGTCATATGGAAAGGTGCAATGGTGGAGCAGGGACTGGAGAAGTTTTTCCTTGCCCTGGGTCTGACATCGGAGTTGAGGGACTCCCCTGCCCCCGTGCTCACCTTTCTGTATGACAACTGCTGCTCTTTCCAGTCGCTCCACACACTTTGCCAGCTGTTCTTGGTGCCAATACTTAAAGAAGAGTCGTGACTTTCTGTGAAGTTGGGGAGAGAAAGAAGCAGTGAGAAACACTGTCTAAGCTTGGACCCATCATCCTGCAGGCCTTTCCAATAGCCATAAAGTTCTCCCTGAAAAGAATAAAGTAACAGTCTACATGTATGAAGTTTCTGCCAGGCCCCCTTCTCCCAGCAACAGTGATCTACACCTACCCACATATCCAGCCTGTCAGCTCTGTACTTTGCAGTATCTCCAAGCAGCTGAAAGAAAAATAAAGAGTGAAATATATAATTTTCCACCTGAAATTTTCCACCTGAAAAAATGCACCATAAAGCGCATAAAGTGGGAGAAAGTGTCTCAACAATTCTGCATTACATTTTCTGTCCCCTGTCACATCCAGTAACTGGCTGTCAATCTGTAGCACTCCGTCAGGAACAGCTAGGATCACATTTGGGAACATCAGCAAAGGGGTGCCCAGAGGCAGATTTCCTTCTGCTCCCTGGGAGGCAATTCTGCAGATCCTATTTTATTCTAAGAACTGTTCTTCTTCATTTCGTTTCCCAGCTCCTTGGAGCACATAAAAGTTGCAAGGTCAGCACAACAACAGTTCTGGGAGAAAGCCTGTTTTTCAACTCCAGTTTCATTTTGCAGACTCCATAGATAAAATTTGGGTCACTCGGAAAGATTCCCTAACACTTAGAACTGAAAGCAGTATTCTAGCTGCACCATAAAGACAGCTTCCTCTCTCTTCCTGCCAATCCAGACTGTGAAATCATAGTGACACTTTTTGCTAATATCTCACATAGCAAAGCAGAACTGTTTTTCCCTTCTATCTCAGTCAATTTTCACTGTGCCAAAATCTATATCCACAGTGGTTCTTTTCTCAAATGATTTTTCTGTCTGAAAACACAACGTGCTGCCTGTTTACCATCATCTCCCTCTCATCTGTGAGATTCTCCCTTGACCTCATTTGATTTTGCAGTTCTTACTAATTCAGAATGGTCAGTGACTTCAAGGAAGCACTGTGAAGGCTGGAGGAGCTACTGCCAGGAGAGGATTCTTCCAGGAGAACATTCAAATCCTTTCCTTAAAAGACTTAAAAATCCCCCTCAGCTGGCTGCATTACATGCTTTGTTCTCACTATCAATCACAGCTGACCATGGCAGGAGGGAGGGACTGGGAAAGTGGAGAAGAGGAGGTGGAGAGTTGTTGCCCTAGATGTAGGAAGGAAAAAGCTGACAAGGTAAAACTGTAGAGTAGGAGGGACATTTCTGTGTCAGGTTCTGAAAGCGCTAAGGGTATATTATACCTGTACACATTAAAAACTCTTGGACCAGAAACATCTCTCCAGACTGAGAGACACTTTGTGCTATTGGCTTGTTCAGCATGGTCTTTATCGTTGTCTTCTCCCATGAGACCACCAGAAAAAAGCCCAGAGAAGCACCTGGCAACTGTGCTGGCCTCCACCTTACTAATTTCAGTGGACGCCTTTGGTTGTTATTTTGACTCCCTAAACTGAGTACACTAGTAGTTTTTCTTCCACAGGATAGCAAGGCTTTATAGCAATTGAATTTCTACATAGTAGTTCAAGAAAGATTCAATTCATCATTGTATCAAACGCTTTTTAAACACTAACTGTCCTTGCCTAGGGATATGCGTTCCCCATCACCACAAAAACTCATCCTCACTTTGTTCCTTTTACTCAGTTTGCTATGCTACTCTGAAAGCAATACTCTCTGAAGAACAAACTGGATTGTACTTAACAAAGGAAGGGTTCCTACCTTTCTTTTGTGAGGGGAACATCTGGTTTAACTAGAAGAATTCCGTATCTGTGAAAAACAAACCAATACAGCGAGGTAAGAGCTACATCCTTGATGTGCTGACTGATCCATGACACAGCAAACAATAATAAATCACTGTCATTCCCACTCAGCCTCCTACAGCAAACAAACCCATGATCTCAGGCACGTGAACTTTGAAAAGGCTGTTTCACTCCTCGCCCATATCTGGTTACTGGGGTTGCTTCCCTAACAATATCTAACAAGGAACTGTCAGAAGTTTTTACCAACCTTTCAGCACATTCCTCAAACGAGGGTCTCCAGGAGAAACCATCTCTTCGGATACGGATTGTCTCCAGCAGTCCATTGTACCGGAGCTGAAGCCGCACCACAAAGAGGATCAGAGAAACAAACAGAAACAGGTCATTAGGTCATCGGCTTGTTCCTGTGTGGACAGAAATGCCTTCATTCAGCACTAAACTTCTCTAGTTCAAACTGAAGAAGTTTCCTTCTGAAAATGCTTCTTTGGTTAAAGACCGATTTTATCACATCCTGTAACTCTGATGATTAACCACTCTCAGTTAAAAGCTGGAAACCATAAAAACCAATGACTTAAAATAACTTCACCTTCCATGGGTACTGCTTTGCCTCTATCCCTCAGAGGACAGCCTTTTACTTCCAAATCTGGACATAGAAGTACTCTGAGACACGGATGAACTTCCCTTTTAATCCTACAATTTTTTATATATATATTAAACAAGCCACAGAGCTTTCTGAACTCTTCTAATAAGTTTCAGTATTCTTTAAAGTGTGTAGGTCTCAGACCTGACAAAATATTCAAAGACAGTCATATCAGCATATTTCAGCTTCTATCAAAGCAATCCCATCTTGGCTCCTATTCAGAGTTGCCCTGGCTGATAGGTGAGAACAGGCTCATCTGGGAAGTATCATTTTTTTCTGGAGAACTCTCTGTCCCCATTCAGGAGATGCAAAAGTGAGTCTCAGTGCCTGACAAGCAGATCTCACTGCATTCATGAAAAAGAAATGGGAGAGAACTAAGATTGCAAAACCTGGACTTAGCAGTCTGCATCACAAAAATAACCAAGTACTCAGAAACTTTGCATGCATAAAAAGGATGCCTACTCTGCTGAGGTGAGACTCAGCTTCCCACTATCTCTACAGCCTTTTGGTGGGGTCTGCCCTCCCAGCTAAGATGTGGCAGAAGTACCTGTAAAGGGGACAGCTTTTCCTCACCTGCTGCAGAACCACCTGGCTGTCCATCACACCCGGCTCCTTCTGGCTGTTGGGCTTTATACAGCGCACAAAGTGCGGGTTGGCAGAATACATCCTCTCCATGAGCACCATCAGAGAATGCTGGTGAGAGCAAGGGAAGATCAACAGTGCAGCAACTCAAAGCACTGCCAGAGCCCTGTGTGCAGTATCCTGCAGCAAGAGCTGTTTTCCCACCCCACAGCAACTTCCCAGGCCCTTTCTGTGGTCAGTTCCACCCTGATCAGCTGTACCTGGCACCCAGAAAAAGCCCTGCTGCATGATGGATGCTTTAAGTACGCTCAGCAGCCTGGAAGCTCTGACAAAAATATCACTCATGTCAAGGAGTACTACAGGGCAGTGATACCTTACCCGGAACTGAGCGCCGGCAGACTGTTTTCGTGTGCTGTTAAACTTGTTGTCTGCTTCTACTGTGACCTGAAACCAGACCCAAACAGAAGATCACCCCTAGAACAAGTGCTTGATTGCCGTCTACAGAGTTCTGCTAGAAGGCAGATGGCAAAAAGGAGAGAGAATGGATTTCAGGAGGGGGATTACAAGTTAAACATATCAGCAGAAGCAAGCAGAAAGCCCAGTAAAAAACGAAAGAGAGATTGCTATCTGCTCTTAGTTTCAACTGATATCTGTCTGCCCTCATTTTGAGCCAGTTTCTCAAACAATAAATGTCAAGTAACTATGCCATCATTTATCAATTGCCATGTGGACCTGAAGTGCAATACCTTGGCTTTCACATGAGGCATCAGTGTCCCTGTCCTGGAGATAGTGGCTGGAAGAATAGAGACAGCAGTTATTTTTGTACCTTTGCTCACAATCAGCCAGTCTAAACATTCAAACCTCATGTCACACACAAGTCTCCCTACAAATACTGAATCACAAACAGGGCATTAGGTTTCACCATGTGGAAATACCAGGAAAGAGCTAAAGAAAGGGAGAAGAAAATGCAAATGTATGAAGCATACAATGCAGGCAGTATTATTTACTGCCACTGAGAAGACAAGGCAATCAGGTAATTGAACAACCTTCCATGACCCTCAAACGGAGTATCATCAGCAGCCATCTAACAGTGCAGAAAAAGAAGTACAGATAGCAAATGGGAAGCTTACCTACAGCAGTCAATACAGCAGGTTATATAAAATCAGATAGCTGAAAATTAATTTCAGTGACAAGATGAAAAATTCAGGGAAGTTGAATTTACTGAAGGATCTAATGACAGTCTTGCCCTCCCTTAGTGCAATGGTCTCAGAATCACAGAATGGTTGAGGTAGAAAGGGACCTGTGGAGGTCATCTGGGCCAACCCCTTTGATCAGCAGGACCACCTAGAGCCAGTTGGCCAGGACCGGACAACCAATCTGAGAACAGGTTATCTTTGCTGCTTATGAACTTCCAAAGATTTGGGACTAGACTAAGTATCTTCAGTAACAGTATGGAAGTGATAATGAAGAAAGATACTCCTGGGCAGAAAAGCTGCAAATCACAGTGGAGAATAGAAATTAAACAGTTACTTGTAAAACCCAAAAAGTGGCATGAACAGGAAAAAGAAAATTTGCACCAGAAGCACTGTGTTCAGCCAGACAAATTCCAAGACGCATCCACCTCACTGCTCTTTAAATGTTTACATTCATAGAAGCCTTAGAGGCTCTGAGGCCTTATCAATAAATGGAAAAAAGGAGTGTAATGGTGGGGAAGAAACAATGCATGACCTCAAAGTTTTTCAGAAAGTTTACCTGAAAAAAAAGAAAAAAAAAAAGAAAAAAAAGAAAAAAAAAAGAGAAGTGTTTGAAAAGGATAATCTCTACAGCCATTGTGGCTTTACTGCACTGTTTTCAGTGAATGGCTAGAAGCTATGACCTTGTCCAACTTCATTTCTAGACTTCTGCAGCTTTCCTGAGGCTGCCAGCTGTGAAACATGTTCCTAGCACACAAGCCTCATTCCCAGACAGCTCTTGTCAAGATCATCCTTGATTCATGTGGGATGCTCTATCACAGCAGAAAGACTTGCCTTTGAACAGGACACTAAGCAAGGGGGTGATGCTGTTGACGAAGAGCCCACGAACATTGGCTGGCAAGGTGTCTCTGTTCTTCTCTAGAAAGCCTTTGGCAGTATACTGTACCTAGAAAAAAGGGCAGCAAGTCACTAAAGCCAGCAGTGCTTACAGGCGTGCTGTGAAAGCCACCTCCACAGCTTGCCAGGAGCAACTGTTAAACTGAATGTACAGTGGATTGCAAGTGAATTCTATACACTGGCTCACAAGTGAATTTTGTAAAAGCATATGCACCCCATTCAGATGCAAATCCTGATGAATAAAAGCCTGCGGATGGCACTGAGGCATGAGAACAACAGGAGTGCAGCGTAACACTGAGACATCCACCTCTTCTTGTTCTCTTTTCCTTGACTACGAAGTTTCATTTACTTTTCATCCATGCTTCAATTCTTTTCCTTGCTCTCCCCCTCCTCCCCTTTGAATAGGCTTCCATCCTGTTGTCATGCATCCCCTTGTTTCTCTTGCTCCCTTCCTTTCTCATCTCCAGCTTGCCACTCTCCTTTCTGTATTAGGTGTTAATTTTTGTAATGAAGAATGTCACAAGTAATAACTTAGTCAACAATGGTGAGACTAGATTACTAAATTGCATATTACAATGCCCTGAATTGTCAAGTCTGTCTCTGCTCCAAAAATCATCTCAAATCAATTCAACATACTTGAGCCAATTCTTTCAGAATGGTGGAAGTAAGGTTAACATGCAATAATCCTAAGCCTCAAACTGTTTAGATACCACTGAAGGTATAAATAAGTGCCTCCACTTTCAAAATATTAATTAGTTGCTGCTCTCACTGTGTTCCTCAGTGTTTGCAATAAAATAGTGGCTGCTCTAGAACCCAATAGAGCAATACATAAAGGTAAAGCCTTTAGACTGTCCTTTGGTGCTGTGCAGTGGATGCAAGGCTTTTATTTTATAAAGGATTATTTTAGGACTAGAGCTCCAATAGAATGATGATGAATACAGAAGACACTTTTAATAAACGATGCTTCCCAGAGGTAGCTCCACTTCCCTCAGGGATCCTCTCTTCCTATACTTTCTACTGAAATCCCAGGGAATCCTAGAAAGGCAGCTCCCTGGGAACACATCACTTCTGTAACTATCATCATCAGACCATACACTCCTTCACATAAAGCCTTATCTGTCACACATATTCCCCTTTCTACACACATTACAACAGAATTCTTGCTGCAAACAGTACGTACTTTCCCAGCATAGTGAATGATGCTGAAGGCTAAAACACGGCCTCGGCCTGGCTGGAAGTGTAAGTTCCCCTTGAAGCTGCTGTTTAGTTTATCCACAAACGTTTTATCAGTTGCCTGCAAGAAAGCAGATTTCATAATCAAATGGTAAGGCTGCAACAGAGACCTGATGAGGGCACACTGAATGAAAACAAAGTGCTGGAAGTCCTTGGCTGTGCAACAGTTTTGTGCTGCACTTCTTGACTCTTCATAGGAATGCCAATGGCATTAGACTGTTCCTGATACGGCTGTCCTGTCTCATCAGTCACACATGGTGACACCTCTGTTCATCCTGCTCTTTAAAGTCACACTCCAACGAAAGAGCTCTCCTTGCTACTCAGATATTCAATGCTACATTCCCCCGTATTATTTTCTCTGCCCCTTAACTCATGCATACCTGTGGGAAAGCACTTTGCTCATCCAGAAGGGACAGGAGTCCAAGCGGCTTAGCCAGGAGCAGATCCTGTGGGAAAGCAGACACATTATACAAATCTAAAGCAGTACAGGGCATCCACTCTCACCTATGCCACCCTTTGAAGAGGTTCTTCCCAGGTCCATTGCCTCCCATGAGTCCTCTCACTCACCAGAACAGGTTCATTATTGTTGAATGTGATAGTCTCCCAAGGCAGATCTTCTTCCTTATAAGCAGCCTGCTCCAGTTGGAAAATGTGCTAAAACAGATTAAAAAGGGGTTAGAGCACCCAGTAGCCTTGGCTAGACAACCCTGAACATCTTCCTTCCTGCCCTGAACAGAGGACAGATGTGTGGCTCTCTCACATATAGCATGAGCAGCCCAAGATGGAACTGCTGTTCTGTATGCTCATCCGTGAGCCTGTCACTCACTGATGCTGGTGCATAAAGCATGAACACTTCTCAGAGCATAAGTGTGCCTGCTCTGCCAGCTTTGCTTTGGCCACTATTTGACCCTTCTATTTTTCCCTTCCCTGCCTCAGTGGACCCCCAGCTACAGAAGAGAAGGTTGCTGCTCTCTACCCTGCTTCACTGAAGATCATTTCTGTCCTTCTAGGTAATAGACCTGTTTTTCCCACAAGCACTCCTACATATACCAGGTAGATCAGTGCTCTGCTTTCTCTGCCACACAAGGTGAGATCACCCACAGCAGACTTACATGGTTGAAGAAGTGCTGCAGCTGCTCATTGGCCAAGTTTATGCAAAACTGTTCGAAACGATTCACTGCAAAGTTTTCAAAACCAAAAATATCCAAGATGCCTAAAAGAAGGAAGATGAGCACATCATGGAGCCTGCAGACCATCCACAGCTGATTATCTCAACACATAACTAAATCTCCCATCACCCAGCTCTTGTGGCACAGGGAAACCCCATACAAGTCACCAGCAGCCTCTCTCCCATAACTCTGCTTGGAGAGCTAGTTAGGAGAAGCCCTGCTCACATCACTGGCTCCTCTGCAAAGCCAGTGCCCCAGGACTAAACCCTCACAGTTGCTTCAAACCAACCAGCCATTCAGAGCTGGCTAGGGGCCTACAGACTTCATGCTGCTGACTAGTATCTCCAACATGATCATGCCTTTGATAATGGATGCCTGCATGCAATCTCTGCAAAACCTCATACTGCGCCTTTTCCTCATCGTGGCTGAGGGATGCACATCTGAGGACAGAACAAGGCAGGGAGAACTCACCTATCTCCCTCAATTCCACCTCAGAATCCACATTCTCAGCCAACAGCTCATTGATCTTGCAAACAATCCAGCCAAATACTCGTCCATAAGCCACCTTTGCAATGGAGTCCCGAGCATCTGCACAGAAAGAACAACAGCAGCTCACTGAAGGACGCCAAAGGAGAGCAGAAAACAGCACACAAGCTGGCTCAATACATCCACCTCTAGAAAAAAATTCTAGTGGTTTATGAAGCTATTTTAAAGATCAGATAAACATTAGGTATCTGCCTGAGTGTCCCTGCCCTCTGTTATCTCAAAAAGAGCTCTTCCATTCCAAGATCCTCACAATCTTTCTACAAAATCAGATATGGCATACTAGGGAAATTGTGAGATGATCTAAAATGTGAAATTTCCTTTCCAAAAAAGTCCACCCACTTTTTAGACTACCCAGAGACTTGCCTTTCCCTCTGCAGGTCTAGTGAGTATGGATCCCTCCCACTGCTAAACCAAGCAAGAGGCTCCAAATTGTACTTGGAAAATTGAAGGGTTCTGTTACTTTTAGCCCACAGCTGACAACTGCTTAAGTGCTGTGGGCAAGACAAGGATGCAACTGATGGGAAACTTGCTGACATTCTAAGAAGAAGGAGACCAAATCAGTGTGACCTACTGCATGATAGGAGATGTATGTCTAGAGAGATGCAAGAGAAGACATTTGGGAAACTAGCTAAATCCCCATTTTCAGTTTTTAATTTCATTTATTTTAAGCAACAGTCTAGAATTCCTGGGATTTCATGCTTTTTAAATTTATTTTTGAAGTCTGTTTTTTTTTTTAACTGAACCTTTCTGTGCAAATTTTCTTGGATTATTTTAGTATTGAAAGAAAACATAACACCTTGTGCTTGCTACTTTGATATACTCCCCTTTCATGTCACTCTATGCCTGACTTTGTGCTATCTCATTGATTCTGTTATTTCTCCATCTGCTGCCTAACGCTCTGCACACTGCCAGTACTCTGCAACAAGAGCCTTCCCCACTTTTGCTCCAATACCTACAGTTTCCTTCTAGGCTGGACTGAGGGAGAAAGCAAAGCTGATTCCTTGGTTTCACATTTAATGTCTGTAGTCTCCTGAAGATTAAACAAAAGCAGCCTTCATGGTCCTACAAGACAGTAGGAGACTAAACAGATAAACATTGACATACTTGTCTCTGTGCAAGAGGAATGAAGGGACAGAGATAGACATCTTTGTTCCAAATAAGTTGCACATGTGTGGGAATACCCTTCCATCAGATACAGGTCAGTCTTTCTAACCAGCACATCTGCAATTCATTATGTCCCTTACCTTCTGCTTGCTGCTGGGTGTGAAAACGCTGAATCTGTTCACCTCGGGTCACAGACATTGTACAAATAAGGCATTTTAACAGTTCATCTTCTTGGACTCCAAACTGACCCTGGGAGAGAGAAAATAAATGTGGACAGTCAATGGTAAACCCTTATACTTGCGGGGACTGCAGGTCCTTGCATCTGTCCAGCACCCTGTATAACAGGGTCATGAGTCAAGGTTTGAGCTCCACTGTAAAATAAGTATTGCTATTAACATCTTATACCTCTGGAGTCAGATGTGGGCTCCGAGATCTGCGCTATCCCTGCAGACACCAAGCTCACTTTTGTGCTCTATTTGAAATACTTTCTGGTTTTCTTTTCCATTGCTGCCTCCTTTCACCTTCTCTGGGAGCCCTGCCAGCCGCTGCTGAGAGGTTTAATGACTTACTGAACAGACTGAACAGCACCACACAGAGGCGACTGTGGAGGTGCTGAGATGTCTGAGCTTCAGCAGACATCAGAGTCAGAAGAACCCACAAGAGACAGGAAACAAAGTGAACTCAAGATGCAACTGAACCCCTCAGTGATTGCTCTAACAGGAATTCCCCTCCTGTGGGCAAAAAACAAGAGCAGACTTTAAGAAGTTGGCTACAGAACAGATGTAGGTGGATTTCTCAGGTATGGTGTAGGAGGGAAACAGGCAAAGAGATGGGAGTGAAACCAAAAGCCAAGGGTGCTGGGATTTCAAATAGGTCAAAATAAAAAGACATAAAAAATGCAGAAAAACATTAACATTTTTTGTTCTGTGTTGCTAACAAAGCAGGACAATGTATCCATCCATATAATAAAAATGGGATGGTCCTGGGGAATATATACTTCTTGATCTGTGATAATTTCATGTGAAAGAGTATAAGGTTTAATTCTGGATAAACAACAAAAGTTACAGTAGTTAAGGTAGTATCTTTGGACAAAATCTGTTGAAAACACTAGAGTTCAGATACTGCACACCTGAATTCCTCCAAGGCATCATCACACTTACTAACATACAATATCTGATTTTAAAAAGCTGGTAAGAAGTCAACAAGGCATGCACGATATCACTGTATGCAAGACACTGGTTCTAGACACACACGAAATAGAAGCTGGGAACTGTCTCTTTGGGAATGAACAGCGAACGCAAATGCAGTCATGGGGTCATAGTGTGCATTTCTGGAAAAAAACCCAACCCTCCTTGTTCTTCAGAAGCCTTCATACTCTGAGGCAGAAACATCCTCTGCCACCTCTGGCAGGAGCAGCTCCTGCAGTTAACACTGGCAGTGGGAACCAGCATCATACCCATAAGGTTTCTGTCAGCCTGGCTTGTGACTCACCGCTGCAACCTTCAGCCATCCCCGGGAGGCTTCACTCACTTTTGCAGACCCATTGCTTTCCTCAGGCTCAAAGGTCACATTTCCCAGAGACAACACACCAGCTAAGATAGCCTGCATGTCCACTTGCTCCTATAACATAACAGAAACGTGACTGAAAACCTATCAGCATGTAAATTATACAACACGGAGGCCCCAGAAGTTGGAGAGATGAGGAAAAGGCACAGGCAGCCTGTGGGAAAAGGCCCTGAACAAAGCCTGACAGACTCAGGTGGTTTGGAAGCAACATGGAAAATCCAGAGAGGAGAGAAATAGGACTGAGCCTCAAAACAGCAAAACGTTGTGCCTGCAGGAAGCACAGATGGAAATTAAACAACCTCAGAACTGACCTGTTCCTGGAAGCCCACCATGTCAAGGGCATTGCACACCTCTTTGTATTTGTGCTTCCAGCGCTGAGCTGTGTCCTGTGTACCAAATCGTCCGCTTACGTACCTGAGAAAGTGTATACCCCATACAAAACCGTCACACAATCAGCACAGCAAGTCAGTCCTACCCCAAGGAAACAAAGCAGATCAGCAACAGGGGACACATGAAAGGGAAAGAAATTTCCAAAGTAATGTAGTAGAGACTCCAGACCTCCCAGCTTCCATGATGAGCCGTAAGATCTCTTTGTGTGGTTCCATTCAGATCCCACTCCAGCTTCCACTCACTTGTTAACCTGTACCAGGCTCCAAAGATAGAGCCACAGGGCAGAGGCACAGGCTCTATTATAGTGCTTTCCCCTCCACCCTACATCACAAGGACTAAACTAGGGTCTGTCTTTGAAGTACCTGTAAAGTGAAGGATCCAACAGCCCATATATCTCCTTTTCCTCTGAAGACAGTCCAGCAAACATGTAGTAGAAGATGTGGAAATTCCTCTCCCCAGCATCTTGTTGCACTACCCGAGACTTCTCCAACAGGTACTCACTCAGCTTTGCACCTTGAACTGCACACAAGAAGGTGACAGGGTAAACTCTGCACCTGGAGACATGAAGCTGACTGAGCTGTCCTGCATCTCTTACTTGGTGATAGAAGCATGGAATTGTCTAAAACAACTCTCATGTGCAGCACCCCCTAGGCTGCCCAGCACCCTGGAAATGGGCTTCTCCATGCTTCTGATCATCTTACAGATGCATGCTCACCTCCTTTAGCAGCAACCAATGCTTCTGGCACTGCAAGTATTACTGATATTTCCCCTCCACTGTCACCCCCGTATCCTTGCTGTACTCCCACACTGTCCAAGCCCAGGCCTCATCCTACAGCTGTGGTTGCTCTTAGATTTTATTTAACTGCATGCCCTACCCACTGGGTGTCAAAATTTCACTCCCTACAAGCCCTGGCTATTCAGTTCACTCCCTCCAGTGCCTAATCATCCCCCAAACTAGTAACTGCCCTTGACTTTACCTGTATTTTTATGGAAACGCAGCTGTATGTATTTTCCAAAGCGGCTGCTGTTGTCATTCATCGCAGTCTGGGCATTACCAAAAGCTTCAAGCAATGGATTTACCTAAAACAAATGAGTAAGCAGAACAATCATTCTTCAAATTAAGCGATCCAGTCATAACTTAGCTGGAAAAGTTTAACTCTAGCATTTATTGTTCAGCGTTCATCTGGAATAGAAACCACTCCATGAGTACCTAAGAGCACCTATTTTATGATAACTGGATAAAGGAATTGAAAAAGGCAAACATACCAGAGGCTAAGCAGCATGAGGTTACTGAAAATAAGCACAATCAAACTGATTTGATCTCAGTAAGATCACTGACTCATTTGTTTAAAGAAAAGGTTGGTATAATGGATTTCCACAAAGCATCTGACATGGTATCATTAGATAATTTGGCTGCTGTAACTACAACAATAAACAAGGTAAACATGGCACTCAGTATACGTAAGCATATAACTTAGCTACTGAAATTTGTAGACAGCATAAGGCTTAGAACAGTGAATTACAAAGAAACTAAGAGAACAATCAGACCAGCTTGGTAAATTGGATGCAAACAAAGTGAAGTGACAATTTTTCTGTATTTGAGCAAAGAATGTTTGCAATTGGAGGAACAATGCCTTAGGGTGCGTGCTGGGCAGCCTGCTGAA